GTGAAAGCACACTCTCACAGGCACAAACACTTCACTTGAAATGACTGTCTGACTATATTTATTCCTCCACTCATTTCTTTCTCTACCAACCATCCTTTTGTTTGTTTCTATTATAACTGCAGCTGCAAATATCATAAACAACTCAAGTACTTTTGGCCCAAACTGACTCCACACAGCTGCTTTCCTTCAACTAATACCATTAGCAAGGATATTGGATATCATGGATGCAATATATTGCTATCCTTGCTAAGTGTTCCAGGGTATTAACCCCTCGATGTTAATATTATATATATTGTTAAAGTAAGTATAAATAACAACTATCATGTAAAGAATAAGTGAATAAGGAAAAACGTACGGCTGACTGTTTGAAGAACTGAGAGACGAGGACTGGCTGCTTTGTGACTGGCTCGGTGTGCTTAGAGCTGATTCTGTCGAGTTCTCTGCCACTACAGCACTGTAACCTGAGGGCCGGAGGGAGAGGTTAGAGAACATCCTTTCTGAAGACAATGTTGACTTAAACAGATGAGTAACACAAGCCCAAGCGCAACAAGTTAACATACTTGTGCTTCCATTTTGCTTCAGGCCACTTGGTGGTCGTGCAGGAGCAGCATTCACGCCTCCAACCACGCCGACATTCCCTCCAATGCCTCCCATCATGCCAACTGCTCCGGGTGTCGTGCTGACAGAACTCGGGGGCAGCTGCGAGGCACCGGGGGCTATATTTTGCCCAGGAACCAAACTCAGAATACTCGCACTCAAAGAGTTGTGGGCCGGGCTGGAACCAAGCAAGCCGAGCCCCAACCCCGCCCCGTTCGTGGTGACTCCACTGGAGCCAGAGGGGGGGATGGAGGTGCTGCTCTCCGCTGACATGATGGACTGAGTGATGCTGCTCAAACCCAAACCTCCTGATGCTGCCTGAGCGTAGGGGGCTGGGGTGGAGCCTGAAATGAGCCCTGCCATTGTGTTTAAGGGGGAGTGGTGGCCGCTAAGACCCAAACCAGACATTTGGTTGACACTGCTGGTCCCCGTCAGGCCGATATTGCTCAAACCCAGACTCAGCCCGAGTCCCAAACTGGATGCCGGGGTGGGCATGGATATGAACTGTGATTGAGAAATGGGAGCTGAAGAAATGGGTGTGGTGGGCGTGGGGAGAGAGGGGGCAGGTGAGGCTGGGAGGAGGGGGTGGTTGGGTGGGCTGGGGGTGTTGTTTGAGGGGACAGAGGGTTTTGTCTGAGGTGGCTGTTGCTGTTGTTGCTGCTGCGGTTGGTTTGGTGGCAGAGGCTGCTGCTGTAGTGCAGGTTGATGTTGCTGCACCGCACTGCTGAAGCTCCCTATGAGACTGCAGCTGGGTAGAACCGTGGGAATGCCTCCGATAACACTCGCCATGGACACGAGGGAGGAGGACGAGGAGGACCCCGAGGTCGTGGAGGACGAGAATGAAGATAGCAAGGATGGGGTGCCGTTCTTCACAGGCGACTGAAAAGGACACCAGAAAAAAGTATTTTAGACAAAACTGTTCAGAGGGCAGCTTCAGTTGTAAGAAGTGAACTAGAAGTTTAATGGGAATGATGTACTTCCATTTATGCAGATGATGCTACAAACTAAATCAAAAGTCTCCAACTATGGTCCCACAGAGAAAAAGCTTTTTTCCATTTCCAACCAGAATCCTTCAGCCTCTGTGCCTCTCAGGACCAAGAGTGAACAGTACGGCACTAAACTGTTTGTCTACTGGCACAGTACAGAAGAGAGCCTCTCACCTGACTAACTTCACTGTCTGTCGAGCGTCCCCTTTTCTTATCGTCCTCTGAGCTCTCCTATAGGAGAAGATACCTTGATATGACAATCCACTTTTGAAATGTTGATTCAGCAAACTAGACAGTCGATTACAACACAATGAGGCTTATAGAAGGGTTAAAAAATGCAACACTTTAAAGAAAGATATTTTCAAAATGTTGTCAGAATGTGCTTTTTCTACCCAGCATCCCTTTAACATACTGACCCAGGTGTTCAGGCTACAAACACAATACTTACAGCAGTGCAAGTGGCCGGGGAAGGAGGAATGGGTGAAGAGGAGGTTGTGGAAGTGGGAGTGCTGCAGGATTGCAAGAACATCTCATCATCCAGAGGCCCCTGACCCGACGGAGAAGTTGCCACTAATGCTGCAGTTTACAGAAAAGACAGGACAAAGACAAGGGACAGATGTTTCCATTATAACACATCTGTTGTCTGGATAAATGCATCAGGGTAACAACACACAGTGCTCTCTACTCACGGATGTCATCCAGGTCTAAGTCGTCGTAGATGAACTCATTCTCCTCAAAGTCCGGGTCCTGAGACGAGTCGATGTAGTAATCAACATCATCCTTGATCTTCAGGATTGAATCCACCACTATAGAGTCATTGTCCAGCATTCGTAAAATGGTCTCCAACATGCGAATGTGGAATCGATGCCTTTCAACCATTCGTTTTAGCTCCTCAATGCGATCCTGTTTCATCATGAAAGACACAAAGCATGTGTGTAGTTCGTGTTAGAGGAACAGACTAGATATCCACAGTCATTATTATTGTATTTAACTGCACAAAATATTGAAAATGAGACGATGGACTTACATCTTTGTCGCCCTTCTTTTTTCTTGTCTGAACTGAAAGAGATTCTATCTCACTTTCAAACTGATCCACCTGCATATTTAGAGTGTCTATCGTACACTGGGGGTGAGAGAAAAGAAAAGAGTGTTAATGGATTCAAAGAAAAGGCTTTCTAAAAAACTGTTTTATCAAACTGCCTATGAGGAAATATTAGGCCTCCTAAATGTACAATCAGTATAGATAATAGAGGATGTATTACTGTTAGCCACAGTCCCGTTTCCTCTTTTTCCCTCTGAGCTGGATCCACTTTCTGAGCGAGCCCCAAGCCTTCTTTAGAGTAGGCTTTTGTTTTTGTTTCACGTTCCACCACCTTGAACCGCTCCATTTGCTGAGGAAAGAAACATGACATAGGGCTTGTTAAGTTACTATACAATACTAAAACAATAATAAACAGGACAAGTAAAAGATGGAAAACATACCGTCTCTATTAGTTTGCGGTTTTCGACTAGCTGCCTTTTGTCTTTGATCTCGTTTGAGGCCACCCATGTTTTTATCTGATCTCTCAGTCGCTGGGAGGACAGACAGGGAAAATATTTAACCACAATAGCAATTTTAATAACTGTTGACTAAGAGTACAGATAAAGAAACACTGTGAGAGAAAATGTGTGTTCATTCATTGATCTCACCTGTAGTTTTTTAATCTCTTTCTTGAGGTCAGCCTCATATTTTTCCTTCTGGTTTGCATTGGCTGCATTATGGAGCTAAAATTGTGAAAATAAACAAAGATATCTTGGTATCTGCAGCGTCCATTTGGTCAAATAGTATAGTAGTAATAGTAGTTTTATCATAGAGTATCAAACAAATGCAAAGATCTCTTACCTTTTGCCAGATGTCTTCAAACTGTTCCACACCTTCAGCTACTTTTTTCAAACATCTGTCGATCTCACCTGTGGAGAATCAATATGTGGTCCAACATCATAGTGTTAATCTGTGCAACACCAACAACTTTTGTAGTTGTGGTCAGTGTAAGTCTCTGTGCAGGATGCTGGGCAGTGTGATGGATCATGAGCATCCTCCTCACTGATGAGCATCACCAACAGTCTTACCTTGAAGTTTTCTCTTGTCAGCCATGGCTCTGACTACGACAATGTCCACATTCCGTCTGCCATGAAGACAAATATGTAAAGTAAACCAAATGTGCATTCAAAAACCCCACATCCTCTCAACAGAGCATCGGTTTGCAGAGAGTGAACCTGACGTTACCTCCAGCTGGTTTGACAGTTATATTTAGCAGCACAAATAATGTTATCTCTAACGAATCAAAGAATACTTTAAACCAGAGCTTTTGTATGGTCGTTGATCTATTGCAATATTTTACTAAACGTAGCTCATCTCGTATGATAAACATGGTTGTCAGCTAAAATTAGCCACCTAGCCAGCTAACGTTAATACTAGCTGCCAGTATCTTAGCTCGTCCACCTCGCTCGGTACCAACCGGCCCGTTTCAAAACAAGTACCACGGAGCACACTGATGGATGGAAATAATATTCATGCATCATAATTGTGGGGTCCAGAATAGCTTTTATATGGTGGGCTTGCGTTATGAAATGCACAATTTATCAGATTCCGTTCTAATCTTTAACCTGCTAGCTAATATGGCTAACTGCCTGACTAGCTAATGCATAAAATGCTAGCTAGCCTGCTAGCCAAATTTAGGAAAATGGGAAACTGGGTCAACCCGAGAATGTACATGTATAGCTGTATGCGACATTTACCTATGGTATGGGCTTTCGTTTGTCTTTTTTCAAATACAGCCAAAACTAATTCCAAAAAGTCTTCTTTACTTCCAAATTGTGTTTTCTTTTCGACAAGCTCGCTCACTGTAATGTAGCTGAAGATGGACGGTAGCTAAAATCCCACCTCCGTTTTTAGATCCCGCCCTAAATCGAATATATGAAATCTGATTGGACAGAGCTCCTGTCTGTCACTCAAAGATATCCGCTAGAGTAGGGCTCGGTCATTGGCTGAGCGTCCAGATGGACTATGATGGACAAGATAACAAAACTGAACCTGAAATCAGACATCCGCAATTGTTCTCTGAAACATATCTATATAGGGGGTTTACAATACATTTCAGAAAACGTGTAATACAAAACATAATTGTCTTCATGAAATTAATAAATCATTAATTCATTAATCAACTGAAAAGTGTTTTTTTCACACATAGGCCTACTGCCAGAAATATCCACTTCAGTGGCACCCACATCAACTTTCTTCCATCTATATTCTTTATAAATCAAATTTCAGAAAAGTTGCATTGACAAAAAGGATCGTCTGCTTCTGGTCAACATCAGCAAACATGATTAAATGCAGACTTTAAAAATGTTGACAATAAAAACATGAAAAACATACAGTCCAATTGCCAAATAGTCATTTATTTCAACAGGTTCTGAAATAAAATTATGAACCATATTATCAATGACAGTATCCAGGGAATCAATTGTGAAATCTATTAATAAACACAAGTTTGTAACTCTACTATAAATGTATCCAGTTTATCAAATAATTAACAAACAGCCCCATGTATGCCACTGGTCATAATTATGTGTCGTTATCAAATAAAAGTACAAAATATTTCTACGGAAAATAAAATATACAAAACAAATGAATACTTGTACCAAGTGTACAACATATCGTTTTATCTTACATTGGTTCAATCGGATCACAATGTTAAAGATAAACTAAAACAGTGCAAAACCCGGCGGAGAGGCAGCGTTTCTACTGAAGAGTTAATGAAACTGTGTGCTCCTTCTGCATCATCATCATCATCATCATCATCATCATCCTCATCATCATCAGGGCCACAGTTCAATGATTAGTGAGACAGAGAGGTCGGGCTGGGCATTTCTCCAAACTGATTCTCTGCCAACACTGACATGTCTGCTTCAGTCTGGGAAAAGAAGCACACACTCAGTCAACAGAAAATCAACTATGCTTTCATTAAAGGATCAATAGGTTATGTATGGGCATTACTTTAGTTAAAAAACATCACATCGCGTGGCAGAGACATCTACTGATATTAGCATGCTGTCGTGTAGGAACACTTTTTCTTCATGAGTCCAGTTTTCCCTCGGTCCAACATAAACCCTGGAGGGCTCGTCAGTCACGCTGAAGGTTCATGGTCTGTACACATTGATTAATAGTTTCTTTTTAGTATTAAATCCAAATTGGCAGTTTTATTGTTTTCAAAGCAACTATCAAAGTGAACATAGGCTATAGAGACCCTGGTTAGTGGATTAAACAGAAGTTTGATTGTATTTTGTGTATCCTTGCCCTGCTGCTATTTATTTTTTGTTTTTATATAACTGATGATTATACAAGTTCATGGACCTAGTAGCAGCATTACACCCAAGCATAATGCTGCCCCCTATTTGGAGCATGTGGCCAGGCGTTACACATTGCATGATTTATAACATCCATCTGCATTTCAAACCAACCATTCATGCCTCCATAACTACATAATCATCCAAATCACACTCACACAAAAGAAACATTCAAGAAACGATGCATAAAAGCTAAAGCTATGGAAAAAAGCAGTCCAAACAAGTTTTTACTCCTACCTGTTGGTCTTTATCTTTTTCTTGCCGTGGTATTCTGTGTCTTTTCCTCTTTGGCAGCGCAGCATGAGGCAACGCAGCAGACGAGGAGGAACCTGACACACCATTAGGCCGGTCATCCTTCACTCCTGTAGCAGGGTCTAAATGGACTCCAGGCTCATCCTGAAACAAGGTACACATTTTAAATTTAAAATGCATTTAACAAGCTTGAGCATTTATTATTGGTACATTAAACAAATTAGCAGACCAGTTGGGAAACTACCCCGGCATCTTTGTGTATATATTGGGTTTTGGTCATCTAAACTTAAATATCAACGGACATACTAAAGTACTTAATTTTCCATTTAAGAGAGGTGTATAGTGTTGCCCCATACACCATAACAGGTGAATCCGTACATGGTAAAGTGCTTTAGTCAAACACATGAATACAATTTTCTTTCTCGTGAATTAGGTCAAAATCTGGCATTGAAAATAATTTACAATCAACTTGCAGATGATTATTTTTAAAAAAACGGGGTTATTTTCTTTAGAAATGTATCCCATTCAGCAACCTGTCAATTTTCTCACCTCTAGAAGTATAGTGAGCTGGGCGTTCCTGTAGTCGTCCCCATGAGCGTCTAAAGTCTTCATGAGAAACCTGCAAGATTAACATAATCTTCAGACGGACCATCGGGGGGCAAACGTAGAAAGTGATTTACTGTAAAGAGGTTTCGTACCGTCTCTCCTTCTTCAAGCGTCGTGTTATTCTTTGTACTTGATGAAGGCGACCAAGAATCTTCTGATTCACCTGAAGAAGAAAAAAATACACCATCATGCCAGGCCGGTTTGAGTTAAAAAAAAAAAGGTCATATTGCAAACGGCATTTCCAAAAAGAATAGACAGTCCTGTGCCTGTATTTTATTTTCTAATTGAGTGTTGGTTTGACACTAAGATAGCAAGGAACTTAATGACAATAGACACAAATATGAGCCAATTGCATACCCTTTCACAATTATATGTAAGCTTGACACACACCTGTTCAATGTCTTTACATCTCCTATTCAGAGCCAGATATTTCCTCTTATCAAGAGCTCTCCTCTCTTCATCGTCCTGCTCTGTACCCTCCAGCAGCTCACTGCCTCCCGGGCCCAGCTCCACCTGAAGAGAAACATATCATGGTTTCTGTTTTTATCTGAATAACCTTTCTGTTTCATTAATGCATACAAAAAATCAGAAATGTACTCCAAACCCAACAGATCTTTTTTTTTTAACATTTTATTTATTGGTTTTTCCCACACATAACACAATAACAGGAGAAAACCCAACAGATCCTTGCTCCACCTACTAAGCTAAACCTGACAACTTTTATATAAGACACTCTGAATTAAAATATTTGGACATATAAGTCATATGTAATAAAGACTAATTAAGTAATTTCTGTCACAATCATAACATTTCAATGAAATTGTGGCATACATAGGTCAAATTCAGAGTATATTTAAACTAGATCAAGGGTGAGACTCGAGCTTCAGTCCCTAAAGACAGAGATTATCAGACCAATTTAAATAGTGTATTTACTCTCTCTACTCTAGCTAAGGTGTTGTTAAAACTGGTAATATTTGATACAATCATTACAAAGACTTCTCATGACTTTGTGGCAAAGGGAGCACTAGCTACCAGGCGTTACAACATTAACATTCACTTTACCTCCCCTGGTCCCAGCTCCACGCCACCAGGCTCCAGCTCTGCCTCCAGGATGTGTCCACCGAACAGAGGAGGCAAAGCCAAACCAGAGAAATCCTCCATCATCTGGGAAGGAAGACAGAGAAGATTTTGTATTATTATTAGAAAGCTTTCATAATACAATTCATACAGATACAATATGTGTAGGTACAAATCTCCTGTAACAATAGCACCAATTGTGATGATCGTTTAGGGAGTGGAAGAAGTCAAAGTAGCCATACTACAGTGTAAAATAGCCCTGCATTACAACTCTTAAGTTAAAGTACAAAAGAATAAGCATCAAAATACATTTCTAGTAGCCAAATTACTCATCATGCAGAATGATAATGTTATATAATGGATCATTTTTTGGTGATGCATTATAAATCATATAAGGGTTGATTTATAGTTTGTATTAAAAAAAAAAATCGTGTCGAGTAAAAAGTACACTATTTGCCTCAGAAATGTAATGGAGATAAAATGTAAAGCATAATAGTATGGAGGGATTCAAGTACCTCAGAAAAGTAGTGGGTTAGAGTTACGTTAACGCTCAGAAGGGAAAGCCCTGCTATTATCAATGAAGGACTGTCACACTAGGAGATACCATGCTGTCTCCAGTGGTGGAATAAGTATTCAGATTCTTTACTTGAGTAAAAGTACACACACAAACTGTTAAAATACTACATTTCAAGTTAAAGTACTGCATTGAGAATGGCACTTAAGTAAAAGTATTAAAGTAAGATTAGGGAAATGTACTTAAAGTATCCAGGGTAAAATAACTAATTGTTAGTATTTTAATATTTAAAAAACTTCTTAGCAAATTTGCTGCCAATTCATCTCCTGTTAACCCACTCATGGTTGCAGTTACTTAAACATAATGTTGGATGGTTTAATCTATAACAAATATATTTTTTTAAACACACTGTGTTGTGTGTCAAAATATGAATTTGTAAAGTCACTACTAAATACATCTGTAAAATAAATGTAGTGATGTAAAAAGTACAAGTACCTCAAATGTGTACTCAAGTGCAATACTTGAGTAAATGTACTTAGGTACTTTCCACCACTGGATACATCAATCTACATAGTAACATGACTTACATTTATGAATGAAAGGTCCAACAGCAGTTGCTACGGGTTACAACTCCTCTACAAACCGTTTTAACGGTCAAACTGCTGCATAGACTGTGTATTATTCTTTGATGTAAACAGTCAGGCTAGCTAAGAGTGTTTTCTAAAATTAAACTGAGCTCAAATCAAACGTAAAGCGAAGGAAGAGCAGTCCTTTCGTTCCATTCTCGTCGATGAACGAATGTTTTTGTGCGACGGGCGCAGAAATCATACGTCAGTTGTTAGTTACTACATTTCCCATGAGCACCCGCGCCTGCTGGAGTTAAAACTACAAAGATCAACATGGCGGGTATGTGACTATTTGGTCCTCTTTTATGCATTGTAGCTTTTAGAAATACCTCCATGTAGCATGCTTTATTAATTAAATCACTTTAAACCACCCTAATTATGTTTCCGGGTTATTTTAAGACAATGATTTCTATTCGAGATGACTCTTAAAACGTGACCTTGATGTGTTGCTAACGGTGGCTAACGTTAGCTTCCGTGGGTTGTCAGCTGTGGAAGACGTAACCTGTTTGTGTTTATCTGCAGCAATCGGAGCGTTCCTGAAGAACGTGTGGAATAAAGAGCCCGTCCTCCTGGCCGCCTGTACTATTGGAGCGTGTGGTAAGTAACCAATGTCATTTAGCTCAGAAATGTGTGGGATAGAAAGAGAGACAGCATTGTACAGCTTGCTTTGGAAATACTGTAGGCAAGGCAAGGCAAGGCAAGTTTATTTATATAGCACTTTTCAACACAAGGCAATTCAAAGTGCTTTACAAAAAATGAAAGAGATTAAGAAAATGGCATTTAAATTAAAAAGAAAAGCTAATAAAATAAACATTAAAAGAAACTGTACTGAATGAACAACATTTAGTATAAAGATAATTACAAGTATCCCAGATATGATCCATAGACTGATAAAAGTAACCAAACAGTACAAATGAGGTTAAATATAATAAAAAAGGTTGATGCCTTGAGATGTTATTATATAAAGTGTGATAGGAGCAAGTTAATGGTTTGCTCATTTTCTGTCGTTTTTGTTTATTTATTTATACAAGCCATGTTTTTTTGTTAATTGACCAATGTAAACACAGAGTTCATAACAAAGTCTAACTAATATACTGTATATGGTTAATACTTTGTTTTTCCTATTATCATTATTATAGGGGTGGTTCTTCCATTTATCAGCCCATTCACCAAGTACTCGGCAATGATAAATGCAGCTGTGCCGTACAACTACCCAGGTAATCAGTAAACATTGTTTCACATTTCAGTGTAATTGAAAAAGGCTAAACAATGCTGACACACGTCAAAGACCCTGGTTTATTAAAAAAAAACATTTGTTCAAATCTTGTCAATTCAAATATTAAAGATTGTTTCCTTTTCTACCCCGATGCAGTCCCTGTGCGAGATGATGGGAACATGCCTGATGTCCCTGCTCATCCGTCTGAACCAAAAGGACCAAGCATGGAATGGCTTAAGAATCTTTAACTTCACATTCCCACGATAAAAGCGAATGATGTTCCCTTTGTTCACCTGAGTCTGCAGAGCTGCTCCCCGTATCAATGTACTGCAATAAAGATGTATTTAATTCTACTATTGGGTCACATTTTATTTATTTATGTTGAGAATTGATCCAAATTATAACTCCACAAGTTATACTTTCCCACAATTAGACTGTTGAAGTTTGAACAAAGCTCAAAAGTGAGGTCTTAATTATTTTCACAAGCCTTTTTAGAGTAAACCTTAAAATGACCATACCTCATAAAGTTTGCATGAAATATGTTTGACCTTCTCCAAGACAATTGCTGGATTGGTAGAGCTAAATCTCAAAACCTAAAAATTCGAAACAATTAAAACCGTCTATCAGGAAACATGACCAGGCATTAGGATTTTTGTTTTATCTTTTTCAGAGCTGATCATGAGAGTTTTGAAACTAAGCCTCGACACAACCCTGATCCTTCAGAAGAGAGGACAAAGATGGACAAAGATGGAAATCTTTGATGGAAAACAAAGATGGAAAGATGGAATCATACCAACACTCCTAAAATATGAATAGTTTGTTTCATACCAGCATTATTCTACTTGCAAGAGTAAGAACAATATGCGGACCGGTACTGCATGACGACTGAGCTGCTACAGATAAAATATGAAATTGGATAATTCAGATACTCATTTAAACATCTGTACCTGTGTCGCTTCATGCATGCACTGCATCCTCCTCCCCCCCCCCCCCCCCCACCCCCACAGACAAACTCAAACATACAGAGCAAATGTGGACAGATATTTCTTTCATAGAACTTTTATTTCACATCACATCAATATTCAGTGTTTCACGTAAAGAATGTCTTCCTCAGCGTATTTATCATAATATAATATATTTTGCAGTCATCAGGATTTCATGTTATGCAATATAGAGAACTGACAGACACATCGCTTCAAATTTGAAACGTAACGAGGAACTGTGAATAGATGTTAAAACGATATTTCACTTTGGAAGAAGAGTTTTGGACTTTGAAAAAGTTCCTGTTTAAGCATATTTTTTCACAAGTTGTGTCCATCTGCAGTATTGATGAGTGCAATGTACAGATTACAAGTGCTTTGAGACATTTACACATACTTTCTGTACACGCACACAACACCCGTGACTACATTTGCTATTGATTTAGCAATAAATCTTTTGTTACATATTTATAATAGTTATATTTTTAACAAACTCTTTATGTATTTCTTACAACATATTACACACTTTGCATATATGCTTTACATATACTACATATGTCTACACTCTGATTTCTGCATGTTTTTTATGTATGCACTTCAAGGGCAAAATCATGTGTATTATAATATTTGTCTCATTATCGCTAGCCTTAAATGTCATTAATGTTTTGTCCTTTTTATGAATCACTAATACTGACAGTTATAACGACCCCAACTGACATGGGCAGAAGGTTTACAAAGTCAAAATGTTCTACCAAAGTGAAATATCATTATAAAAATAGTCAAATAAAAGTCATACAATCACACATGTTTGATGCACTATTTACAAGCATGAATAAGCATTAGCTCTATCATTTTGTGGTCACCTTTATATATGATGCCATACTACTAGTAATATCAATGCTGTTAGAGATGATTTATTACAACCCTTGTGGGCGTTATTTTGAATCTTCAAGGTGCTAAAGACCACAGAAGGTATTTACAACAGAAACACAAACCATTTAAGGTTGTGCGGATACAACCCCTATTAAACCACCTTTTTTTTTAGAGGCGACTACAGAACTACAGAATATTACTTTGGATATCTCTAGTTTACCATTAACACTTGCTAAGACAGTGGTCACATCCCATTATGCTTTCTTCATCACTTTCATAGGAACATTTCCCCATTCCAACTCAATCCTATCGTCCGTCACAGCTTTCACATCTCTCTGAGATTCTGCTCAGTCTGATTGGTAAACGTTCAGCTACAACTAGCCTAGATGTTATCTAGCTTTAAATCTGTTACTGAAAAGGAATCAAGAAGACATCGAATCCAAAGCACACTAATCTCTCTTTCTTTACACATTGAGCCCTCCATAACATGCTACTTTCTAAAAACACTTTCAGTAATAACCCCGTCCAAAGGTTCAACAGTTTGGCTGTGGAGCTCATAAGCTTTTCTGTTTCTGCGTTTTAGAGGACTTCAAATATTGGACCTGAGAGCAAACAGGTCTCAGTTATCAATCATTGGAAAAATGAAATTAAGGGTTGTTGGTTTGTTACAACTTATTTTGAGTCCATATACAAAAGAATATTACTGATTCTGGCACTATTACTGAAAGTTGGACTTTACTCTCGACCTTTTGACGTTTATGTCAAAATGCAAAAATACCACAACATTTCCTTCTATAATTTTTTGCCCTTACGCCTTGTCTTATAATTCTTTCATTAGGTAAATAATTCCACTAATCCAAATATCTACTTTCATAAAATGTTTATATGTAACTTTACAGTAGCAGAACATGTCATGTTAACGGGCAGAAGCAGCATTGCCCATGTTTAGTAATATCAACGTAAATATGACACAAAATAACTCAATTATTAGTAAAATATGCCAGGACTCTATCAAATAAACATTTAATTTAAAGGTCAAATGTCACCTTAATTGAAACCTAAAAACAATCTGGCAGCTTTTCTAAAAATATAATTTTGTAATAGCACTTAAAAAGTAGGAGCCTGTCCTCTTACTGTAACACTTCATGACAGTGAAACTTCACAACCTGCTTTTAGGAGCCAGTCCCTAAATCAGCTCAACAAAGACAACTTTGTATCTGGATATGGCACAAAAAAAACCACTACAATTAAGATTATATCGAGAAAGGAAAATTCACTGTTACACTGTAAGGAATATAAGAGGCACCTTCCATAAGCCAGGAAAAACATTACAATGTTAATTATTCTGAAAGAAACAGTTAGTCAATCTGAAACACTAAGCTAACACCTACCTTCTGTTTCATTAAAAATAGCCTAGATTTATGTATAATTTCACTTTCAATTTTTCAGACATTATAATGGTCTTTTTTCAAATGAACAACTTCAAAATTGAATGGACTGATCGTATTTATAACAGGTCAGCCTTTACACATGAATCTTTAATACCTATACTTAAAAATGTTCTTTTCCCTCACGAGACACCGTTTTTATTTATTAAACTTGTTCAAAAATAACATCCAAAGTAAAGAATCAACATAAATCAATGTGATGTTTCCAGGATTCAACCTGAGGTTTGCTGGACTGACAGACCACAGAGAACATGACGCCACCGCCGCAGCGGGAATAAAACTCTTACTCAATGATGGGAGCTGAGCGATCGTTGGTGACAGTTCTTCTGAGTCGAACGTGGGCAAATGGATTGGCCCTGAAAGGAAAAAGGTATAACAATCGTACAATACAAAAACTGATGACCAAAGGAGTTGCCCCACCAAACAGTAAAAACAGCATTGGGAAATGCAACAAACAGGTACAAATAATAAATATGTAAATGTACTCTTTCAAGGTAGCTGAACAGACTCAACGTTTTTAACATCAAGTTACACCTCAAGCACTAACGCTTTCAAACTTTGTGCCGACCTGGTAATGTTGTTAATGTTTTTAGCATTTAAACATTTCCTATTGAGCTATTATTTGTTGGAATCACTCCTATTAGGATGGAAATAATTGTGCC